TGCTCTGTAAACCTTCACCCAAATCACAATAAGATAAAATTTTTAAAAAAGCACCCAAATCCCAATTTGACGCTTTACACTAATAATTAAAAAAAAAAAAAAATCGGAGACTTGATGTGAAGTATGAAATTCTAAGAGCGCTACCCATTGCCATAGAGTTGATTCCTACTCACAGCGCCCCTAGAGGACAGCGTGGAACTGTCCCATAGGATTTCCTAGGCAGTCAGTCTTCATGGAAGCAAAGCCCAAACCAAACCCACTACCATGGAGTCAATTATGACTCACAGCGCCCCTAGAGGACAGAGTGGAACTGCACCACAGGGTCTCCAGGGCTGTCAATCTTTACAGAAGCACACTGCCTCATCTTTCTTCCGTGGACTGGCTGGTTAGTTCAAGCCACCAACCTTTATGTTAGCAGCTGAGCACTAAAACACTGTACTACCAGAGCTCCTAATACGAGTACTACAAGGTAGTAAAAAGTTCTGGGAATGGAAGGACCCTTCTACTGATGATACCACAATCAGAAATTATAGTGTAAAACATTGATGAGGGTGATCCGAAAATTGTAAACCTCTCTGTTCCTGATGTGCACACATATACACACACATGCACAGAAAAGTAAACTGAATAAAGCTAACAGAAAAATCTGGGGGAAATATTTACAAGTTGAATGTCAAAGACACAATATTCCTCATATGCAAAGAGTTTCTACAAATAAATAAGAACAAGGTCACCCAGGGTGTAGGGCGGTCACTCCATGGGTCTCTAGCGTTTCTACATGCAGGTGAGCAGAGGCGCTGATGGCCTTTTCCGGACTTTTTTCATGGTGGTTTGGTTAGTGAAGAGCCCTAGGGCTTAGCGAAGGCTCCCTTTTCTGGAGCCAAAGGCAGGCAGCCCTACTGTTCATCATAAAAGATTCAGGATCCCTGAGCTCAGGCTTCCTCCCCCATAACATACTCCATTGGGGTGTGCAGTTGTCACTGTGCCTGTTCATATTACCCTGTGGAAACTGGGATGCAAAAAACTAGCACAAAACTAGCTCAGACTGGCTGCTACTATTGCTGTGAGTAATAGGAGCCCTGACGGAACAATGGTTAAGTGCTCGGCTTCTAACCGAGAGGTCAGAGGTTCAAACCCACCTAGTGGCTCAGTGGGAGAAAGCCTTGGAGTTCTGCCCCCGTAAAAATTACAACCCAGAAAACCCTGTGGGCTATGGTCCCAGGTGATCCTTCAGGCCTGGAAATGGGCTCACTTCTGTGGACTGGCTCTCAGCTGCTGGCACAATGGTTCAGCACTAGTGGGAACCCTAGGGAACTCCCAAAACCATTTCCTGCGAGTGGGATGGGGGTCCTGGGTCAAAGGTCTCAGCCCGACAGAAGAAAGACCTACAAGCAGAACACCTACCGCAGGGAGATGCACCCCTTAGATCAATCAACCAAGAGATGTCAGAGAGGCAGCGTTCACACAGGGACAGCTGGGCAGACAGGAGGGCAGAAATAAGAAGGGCACCGGGAGGGGTGGTCCCAGGAGGAGAGGGGAGGAGAGGTCTTTGTGGCTGGCGATGGTAATCAGGGAGTGAAACCAAATGTGCGTGAACTGTTGAGAGTAAGAGGAATCTGCTTTGTAAATTTGCACCCAAATCACAAATAAACCCTACGGGGCAGTCCAGGAGCTCTGGTAGCTTAGTGCCTAAAGGCATTTGACTGCTAACCAGAGGGCTGGCGGTTCAAACCCATCAGCCACTCCTCGGAAGAAAGATGGGGCAATCTACTTCCGTAGTGATACTGCCTCGGAAACCCAAGGAGGGGTCGCTATGAGTCGAGTCAAGTCAATGGCAGTGACTTTGGTTTGGGCTTTGCTTCCAGTGGGTGTGGTTTGGGCTTTGCTCCCATAAAGACTGACAGCCTCGGAGACCCTGTGGTGCAGTTCCACTCTGTCCTCTAGGGGCGCTGTGGGTCAGAATCCCCTCCAGGCACTGGGTTTGGTTTGGGCTTTGCTTCTGTGAAGGTAGGAGCTCTGGTGGTGCAGTGCCTAAGGCATTTGACTGCTAACCAGAAGGCTGGCGGTTCAAACCCTCCAACCACTCCTTGGAAGGAAGGTTGGGCAATCTACTTCCGTAGTGATACTGCCTCAGAAATCCAAGGAGGGGTCGCTATGAGCCGATGAGCTGGATCCGAGTCCAGGGCAGTGAGTTTTTGTTTGTTTGTTTGTTTTTGTTATGTGGCAGTTCTACTCTATCCGGTCTATGAATCGAAATTAACTCAGCAGCACCTTTCAACCAAGAAACCATCCTTTGCTTCTGATCTGGGAGTCTTGTGTCTTTGAGCAGCCCACGGTCCTTGACGTACAGGAGGAAAATGGGCCAAGGATGTGACCGGGGCATTTGTGAACGAAGTAAAAACAGCTTCTAAACACCCAGGAAGAAGATGTTCCAACCCCGGTGGTCATCAAAGATACCGGACAAGAATGAGAAACACCTTCACCCTGCAGATTAGCAGAGAAGTGGGATACCCCTGCTGGCCAGGGGCTTCAGGAAGAGCCATGTGTCCAAAGAACAGGTGACAGTGTGTATGAGAGGTGTGGAAACTGTAGGCATCTGGTAACTCAACCACTCAAGTCCTGGGAATTTCACCCACAGGTCATCACCGGACGAGTGCAGAGAGATGTGTGAGGAGGACGTGTCTGGATAGGAAACGGAGTCCACCCCAGTGTGCGACAGTGGGGGACATCGGGCTGTAACATGGAACAGCCACGAGCATGGAATCCCACTCAGGCCTCAGCCACAAACAAGGGTGAAGCCGGTCTCTGTGTGGGTGCTTCTCCAACTCCAGCATGCAGCAGAGTCACCCAGAACAGGGGGGATGGGCCAACTTGCCTGTAAAAGCTTTGAGGGCCATCGGTCATCTGTCTTTACAGCCCCCAAGCAGCAACAGCATAGCTAGTAGACAAGTGTGTCCTGTTTGCAATTTGGTGGCAGGAAGATCTCAAGTGCATCCTTTGGGCCCAGGGTCTCTGTGCTGAGAACCTCCTAGACCCTGGTGGAAGATTGATGCCAAGACATGGAGATCTCCAGGGAGCAATGGGCCCACAGATGTTGGAAGGGACAAGGACCTTCCCCAGAGCCACCCGTGAGATGGCCTTCCCCTGGACCCAGCGCCCTGAATTCGGACTTCCAGCCTCCCAAACTGTGAGAGAATAAGTTTCTGTTTGAGTAAGAAAGAAAAGACACAGCTAGACTAGGTGACTAGAGAGAGACCAAAATTCATTCATGGTCATGGGGGGGGCAGTCTTTGCTGAGGGGAGAGCAGCTTCTGTTAGAGATGGTGGGGACGTTGGAATAGGATGGTGGTGGTTGCATGGCATGATCATAATGAATGCTATCAACTGTCCATGTAAAAAATGGTGGAATGGTGTTTGTGTTACATGTAACCAAACCCCAAACCAGCTACTGTCAAGTCCAATTCACATTAACCCCATGAGCCAGAGTAGAAGTGCCCTGTTCTGGTTCCCCAGTGCCGCTCTGATGGGTACCACCAATGGGTTGGCCTTGACAAACAGGAGTTTATTCTCTCACAGTTTGGAGGCTTTAAGTCCAAGTTCAAAGTGCCAGGCTCTAGGGGCTGGGGGAAAGCCCCTCAACCTTGGGGTCCAGCTCTGCCTCCTGCTCCCGGCCCACTGGAATTAAAGGCTTTTCTTCACTCAGACGGCTGCTGGCTGCTGAGGCTGAGAAGCCCCAAGGTTGACAAGTCAAAAGGCACAGTCCCGATGTTACCAAACCACACGGCAGGCCATTCATTCAAGTCCATTGTGAGTCCCAGAGTCAGCAGAGCATAGCAGGCTGCTGAACAATGACTCAGCTCCATGCAGGGTCCAAAGCGCGCCACAGGCTAGAGCCCATTCCCTAAGCTGCTACTTATAAATGAGAAGCAGACCACATCCCTAAGGCAGCTGCTCAGCCCCTCGCAGTAGATTCCACCATGGAGTCGATGACCGGTCTCATGATGGGGAATGTTACATCCAGCTGCCCAGCCACTCACCCAGGCCCAGCCAAGTTGACACACAAACTATCACATGCCCCATCGGATTGTCTTGTCTGTAATTTTTACCAAGACAGAGCCCTGGTGACACAACGGTTGGTTAAGCACTAGGCTGCTAACTTGAAAGGTTAGCGGTTCAAACCCACCCAGTGGCTCCAGAGGAGACAGACCTCCTGCTCTGCTTCTGAAAAGATTACAGCCTCGCCCTGGAGAGTGGGGCCCTTAGACACCCTGCAAGTCAGCAGCTGAACCCATCCTTGTGGTTCCACTTTCAGAACTGCGAGGTGAACAGTAACAGCCGAGAGGGATCCACTCCTTAGACCAGCCAACCACACAGATCAAAGGGGCAGCACTTGCCTGGGCATGGAGCTCAGAAGGCAGGGAGGGACCGGGAGGAAATGGGAAGAGAGCGGTTACCCAGTGGGGATTGCAATCAGCATCACAAAACACAACGTGTATGAATGTCGAATGGAAGACCAATTCGCTCTGGAAACTTTCCACCCAAATCACAATAAATTAGGGAAAAAAAAAAAAGATTACAGCCAGGAAAATTCTATGGGGCGGTTCTACTCTGTCCTCAAGAGCCCCTGTGAGTGGGACACAATTCCACAGCAAGGGGTTGATGGGTAGTGACTTTTTGAAGCCCCGCCCCCTCCCTCTTAAGAGGCACAGGAATGTCAAGTGGGGACCAGGCTTCCAGAAAGAGCACCCCCCCACCTCAAGAGTCCCAGGAGGTGAGAGGCGGAAAGAGGAGACGGGGTGGGGAGGTGCCAGAGGCAACCAGGGGCCCGTCCTTGGGGCCCCCACAAATGGACTTCCTCAGACCTAGAGGGTTTGGACATTGTGAATTTGGGGGGGGGGTCCCATTGGAGAGTCACAGATCTTGGGTCTCCAAGATGTCAAGGGTCACATGTCTGCAGGCCCCCTCCCCCCACTGTCATTGAGTAGACCCCGGCTCAGGGCGACCCCCTGTGTTACCAGGTGCTACTGGCTCCGGACGGTTTTCTGGGCGTCACCTTTATGGAAACAGGTCTCCAGGTCCTGCTTCCTCAGTGCCACTGGATGGGTCCGAACCACTAACCGTTCACTTAGTTGCAGACAAGCCTTCTCCTCCCCCAGCCCAATCATCAGAGTCCAGCCTGGGAAGCCCAGGCTACTCCCGAAACCATGTCCTCAGAGTGTGTGTGTGTGTGGGGGGGGGGGGGGGTCCTGGGTCAAAGGTCTCAAGGTCCGACTTTTTTGGGGTGGGGTCTCGGAGAAACATACCAGGGCGGGCCCCTCGGGATGGGAATCCCTTTTGGGGGTTGGGGATCTAGGAGCCCAAGAATGAGTAGTGGGTTTTGTGGTCCCAGGTTTAGGAGGCACAGAACTGGGGGTCCCCGCATTTGGAAGGGTGGGGAGTCCCAGGTCAGGGGGTCACAGGTGGGGGCCCCAGTACCGGATCAGCGTGGCTGTGGTGGGATCCACCAGCAGAAACAACACCAGCAGCAGCGGTACCGGTGACATCTCTGGATTCCCGGCTGTTGGGCCCCAGGCGTCTTGGAGCCTCGCGTTATATTCCCCCCCAGGCTCCGCCCTGCTCACCACCAACTTTGGTACTTGAGCGGTTTCGCAAGGACTGGGGGCAGAGGGCTGGGATTTGGGGAGGGGTGACTGGAGTGTTTTTGTAGGGTCCCCAAGAATAGTACTATCTTGTCTCAGCACTGTCAGCCCTGACGGAGCGTTTCAGACGGGGGGGGGGCCGCCCCCCACACCACTGCCCCCACCCCGCTCCCCACCTTTCGGTCTCTGTTCGCTTTTTCTTGTAACTTTCACTTCACCTTTCTGAAACACGTGAAACCACAGGAGTTTCTCCCAGAAAGTTCGAGGGCTGGGCGGGGTGTTTGCAAAGGGCCGTGAATTTGGGCTGAAGGGGGACTGGGTCAGTCCAAGACGCCCCACCCGCCCCACCTGTAGTATTACGTGAACTGACCCCCGGCTCTTACATCGTGTTATTTGGAAAAGTCTGTAAGGCACAAAAAAAGTAAAAAAAAAAAACATAATCACTAGCTGTGGTAAGTATAAAAATAATTTGTGGTGTGTTTCCGTTTCTCTGTGCTCCCCCCTCCAGTAAGCTGCTCAAATTCTGAGGAGCCTCTGAAAGGGGAGACGGGGCTTTAGGGGGCAGAGAGCTGAGGAGGGACAAGCAGTTCGGGAAGGGTAAGAATGGTCCCACAACTCCCAGGACGGCATCGGTATCACCTTGAATCGGTGTCACCTTGAATCGGTGTCACCTTGAATCGGTGTCACCTTGAATCGTGTGTATTCTGTTGTGTGCACTCTCACCAACAACCAGATAAAATCAAAGAATAATGTTATTATTATATTTTATTAAATTTATTATTATTATTCTTTAAATTAAGAAGCATCAGAA